TGGAATCAAGGCAACAGCCCAACACAATGGCAAAGAAGTTGAATATAGGACTAGGGACTTAAAATGGTTTTGTGTCCAGGCTCGGTGGCTCAGCCTGTAATCCCGCACCTTTGGGAGGCTGAGGTAAGTGGATTGCCTGAGCCCGCGGGTTCGAGATCCGCCTGGGCAACTTGGCGAGACCTCATCTCTACAATAAATCAAAAATTAGCTGGGTGTGGTAGTGCGCGCCTGTAGTTCCAGCTACTTGGAAGGCTGAGGCGGAATGATCGCCAGAGCCCAGCAGGTCGAGGCTGCGGCCACTGCACTCCAGTCTGGGCGACAGAGTGAGACTCCAACTCAAAAAAAAAAATGGTTTTGTGGCATCATAGTTCCTGCCAGGCCCTGCTGAGAGAGGTCCACATTATGCAGAGAACCCAGCTCCAAGTATACCACACAACAGCCCAGAACCCTCCCCAGAAAAGTTCTCTCACAAGGAGGCGGTGATGGTACAGTCTTTTAGGGAACCAGTTTGGCAGATGTGAATAAAATCTAAAACCTAGACATGGTGGCTCACACCTATAATCCCAGCAATTTGGGAGGCCTAGGTGAGAAGTTAACCCGAGACCAGTGGTTCAAGACCAGCCTGGACAACTTGGTGAGACCTCATCTCTACAATAAATCAAGAAAAGATCACTGGGTATGGTGGCGCACGCCTGTAGTTCCAGCTACTTGGAAAGCTGAAGCGGAAGGATCACCTGAGCCCAGCAGGTCATGGCTGTGGTGGCTGTGAGCGTGCCACTGCATTCCAGCCTGGGTAACAGAGTGAGACTCCGACTCAAAAAAAAAAAAAAAAAAATCTACGACCTCTCCTCCCTTCCTACTAGCACTTTCATATCACCAAAATTTTCCTAAGAATCATCAATGAAAGCAGGCAAAGATGCACGTGCGCAGCAACTCACTGTGACTTTGTTTATACAGGTTGAGCACCTCTAACCCAAAAGTCCAAAATCCAATATGCTCCAAAATCCTAAACTTTCTGAGTGCCAACATGACACTCACAGGAATTATTCCAACCTTCAGATCAGGGATGCTGAACTGGTAAAATGCAAATATTCCAAAATCTGGAAAAATCTGAAATTCAAAACACTTCTGGTCCCAAGCATTTTGGATTAAAGATATTCAACCTGTAATAACAAAAGCCACAAATAATGTGCATTTAAGTTTCTTTGGGATAAGAGATTGGGAGGTTTCACTTTTTTATATCATATACTTCTATATTGTTTGAATGTATTATAAATATGTAGTATTACCTTCATAATTCAAAAGAAGCCAAGATTAAAAGGACAAACAAAACCTTCTCTGATCTGGAATGATAGTCAGATCGTGGCAATGCAAACTACTTCATTTTTTGTACTTGCTTATATTATTGAATTTTTTACATTGAACAGATATGAAACTTTACAAAGATATCAAACACAGTATAAAAAATTCCTTCCCTGGATTCCTACTGCCTTCAAAAGAAAAATGCCTCACCCACTAAGGAGAGACAACAAGTTGTTCTAAACATATTCTCTTCTTCACAGCAATAGAATGCCTGACTTTTTAGGCAGGGTATATATTGTCTCAGAATACCCACTACATTTTCCAGTCTCCCTTGCCACCAGGTAAGGCCATGTGTCTAAGTTCTGGCCAATAGAACGAGAGCACAGGTGATATATATGCAGCTTCCAGGTCAAGCCCTTAAAAAACAGGAATGTGCACTCATAGAGAAACACAAATTAAAACTATACTGAGATACATTTTTCACCTACCAGACTCAAAAAAGTCAAAAGTTTGAAGCATACCATGTTGGTGAAACTGTGTGGAAATAATAGGTACTCATACATTACTGGCAGGAATGTAAAAATTAAACAACTCCAATGATGGGAAATTTGGGAATATGTTTTAAAAATGACAACATAGTTTATTTATCCTCTGAACTAAGATCAATCTCACATCTAGGAATTTACCCTAAAGATAAACCCCCAACAATAAAAAAAAAAATACATACACACAAGTTTATTCATTGTGGCATTATTTATCATTGCAAAAGATTGAAAACAGCCAAAATGCTCATCTACAGGAGAGTGGTAAGGTAAATTAGGGTTCACTCCTCCATGGAATATTGCAAAGCTGTTAAAAAAGTGAAGAATATCTCTGTGAAGTCATAGAGACAGATTTACTATATATTGTTAATTATTTTTAAGTACAGAAGAGTATGTGCAACGTGCAAACATTTGTGTCAAATAGGGGCAATGAGGCCAGGCTCGGTGGCTCAGCCTGTAATCCTGTGCTTTGGGAGGCTGAGGTGAGTGAATTGCCTTAGCCCGTGGGCTCGAGACCCGCTTGGGCAACTTGGCGAGACCTCATCTCTACAATAAATCAAAAAAACTAGCCGGGCGTGGTAGCGCGCGCCTGTAGTTCCGGCTACTCGGAAGGCTGAGGCGGAAGGATCGCTGGAGCCCAGCAGGTAGAGGCGACAGAGTGAGACTCCAACTCAAAAAAAAAAAAGAAAAAATGGGGGCAATGAAATAATGAAGTGGAAAAAATAGGGGGTGGAGAGTAACACTACTGTCAGTGTACCTTTTTGTATAATTTTGACTTTACAATCTTGTTAATGGTTTATGTATTCAAAAATTAAACTACATCAACAAGAATAGAGGAAACAAAACAAACAAATAAGTAAATGGCACAGTATTTCAAATAAATAATATAGCAACAAAGAAAAAAAAAACCAAGAATCCAAGTAGCTTTTATTTTATTTTGTTTTTTGTTGTTATTATTTTTTTGAATTGGAGTCTCACTCTGTCACCTAGACTGGAGTGCAGTGGCATGATCACAGCTCACCCAGCCTCAACTTCCTGGGCTCAAGTGAGCCTTCTGCCTCAGTCTCCTTTTTTGTGCTATGTTGACTAGGCTGGTCTCAAACAATCCTCTCTTCTTGGCCTCCCAAAATGCTGAGATTACAGGCATGAGCCAATGCACCTGGCCTCCAAGTTGCTTTTAAAAACAGTACTTTGTATACTTTCAATCAATAGCCAAAAAAAACTCTAAAGAAAACTTAAGTTTCACTGTGGGGACCATGGAGGTGCTCAGACCTCCCCCTAGGAAAGCCTGCTGCAGGAACAGGTGACAGCCACACCTTTACAGCCTCTGCACTTTTGCAGCCACTGCAGCATGAATGTCATTGCCACACATGCCTGGGCTGCTCTCAACTGATGGCCAAACACGGTAGAAACTCTGGGCCATTCCTGCCTGATGCCAGACTCCTCTAACAGGTGACCTTTGCTTGGGGATTTCCCATGGTCCCAGCCATGACTCTCAGACTGCACTACAGTCTGAAGCTCTGCCTCCCTGATCCACCATCCTTCCAATTTCTTTGCACAGAACTGTATTGCAGTCAAAGACTTTCTCTGCCTTTTCCTGTCCCCCTCCCCCTTTATCCATCACAGGCATTTCCCTAATCAATTTCTTACACATCTACTCCTACTTTGGCATTGGCTTCTTGGAGGATCTGAGCTGACACACCTACTCAGTAGGTTTGCTGTTTGTGATGGTATGAATGTAGCAAGTATGAAACATTTTGTGTGTACTGTAGAATTAATCAAATGAGTAAATACATTGATATAGTTAGGAATCAGGGCTCTAGATGCAAGAGGAGGAAGAAATAAATATGGAATGAGATAAGCGAGGAAGAAAGTTGCTGTGCTGAATTGGAATAGGAGGGCAATACGATCTCATGATTTATGGAAAATAAATAAATCATAAAGTTGTACTGACTTCAAATCAATGAGATAGATATAAATACATATAGTGTGTATATATAGATGTGTGATTATATATCCATCTTCTAGCTCTGTCCACTGAGAGGAATGGGCATCAGTAATGCCCCGTGCTCCAGAGCACACCTAATGCCCAGATCTTGGTTTCCAAATCCCATTAGAAGGAATGAGGTTAAAAACTCATATCTATACAGAGATATGTATGTGGAAGTTCATGTTAGCATTATTCATAGTTACAAAAAACTGAACTTTTAATCCAAATATGCATAACTAGTGAATGGATGTTTTTTAAAAATGCAATATATTCATTCAATAGTACAACACTCAGGAATAAAAAGGTATGAACTACCGTTGCATTCTACAACATGGATGAATCTCAAACCATTATGCTAAGTGAAAGAAGTCAGGCACAAAAAGCCATGAATTGCATGATTCTGTGTATTTGAAGTGTCCAGAAAAGGCAAATCTAAATAGACACAAATCAGTGGCTACCTAGGGCTAGAGGTGGGTGCAGAGAGTAACTGTAAATGGTCAAGCGGGAGAATTTGGGGTGATGGAAATGTTCTAAAAGTTGGTGCTGGTGATAGCGGCACAACTTTTTAAATTGAGGGAATTATCCACCACTACTTTTGCACCCTCATGTCCCAGTGCTGCCCTTCATGCACCCTAAAGTCCACTTGATGTGTCCCAAAGGAGGCTCATGCTTTCAAGTCTTTGCTTGGGCTGTTCCTTCTGTCTGGTAGGTCATTTCTCCCAGTTACCCGCTATGATGGAATTATTTATTCCTCATGGCCCAGGACAAATGTCACCTCCTCTGTCATGCCAGAATCAATCCCTTCCTTCTTTGGACTCTCATTGAATATTCTTGCACATCCCTGAGAATCCTCTTCATTCTAATTTTCCAGCTGTGTCTATGCACGGCTGTCCCTCACCACTGGACAGTGAGCGCCTTGGGGGCAGGGTCTTATTCTACAGCATCTAGAAAAGTGTCAGGCACATCATTAGCATTTGGCAAATGGATGGGTAGATGAATGGATGAATAGATGGATGAAGCTATGAAGAACAAGCGAGACTGAAGCCACTGGAAAAGGTACAAGCTGTTTTAAGCAACAGATGAGCCAGTTTTTAAGAAAGAAACTTTTAAAAACGGTAACAGTGACTATATGTAAAGAACAATGGTGACGATGACCCTTCTCTTACCTTCATCAAGCAGCCAGCAAACACAAGGAAGCCTTTTGAATGCAGATGCTTGGCCAAAGAGAACCCAAATCCAGAGTCACAGCCTGTGACCAGGACAGCTTTGCTGCCAACCTGTTTTAGAAGGTCAGATCCCATGTTAGGAACCTAAGGTACTGCGTGACCAGGCCTCCCCACCCTCTGGGCAGTAACAATTAGTGCTACCTGAGTGGTTCAGGCCTGGCCTTCCCAGCTTGGTTCTTGCTGTCTGGAGAAGCACCACAGCATTCTTGGACTCGGAATCAGGAAACCAGGTTCTAACCCAGACTCTGATGCCAACTACTAATGTCGTTTGGGGAAATTACTTCTGCATTCAGGATCTCAGTTGCCTCATCTACAAACACCCATGTTACAAGTGGGAAAACAAGTATTTTTTAAATACTCAAAGTAGTTAGTGATAGACCTGGAAATGAAACTAGGGCTGAGAAATTGCAGAGTCTAAACTCTTTACTTTAATTTGCTGGGAGGAGGTAGGAGTTCTGGCTCCCCACCAGGCCTCCACTGATACCTTCCTGACTGGGATGGGTTGGAATGCCTCGTTACTGTCTCCTTCCCACACGTTTGAGAGCGTGTGATCTCATTACTGATGGGGAGCTTTGGACTTTCTCACAGTAAGTGAGAAAGTGGCTCCAAGTGCCCTGGAATCACTAAATCCCTACTCCGGGTTGGGTATCTCAGGTCCTGGAGGCCTAGAGGGAAGGGATCTGACCATCTGACTGGTTCCCAGGTAGCTGGGCTTCCACTCACCGGGTTCACCTCACTGGCATAAGTCCGACGACCAACTGGGATAAAGGAAGTAGGGCAACACAGTAGTGGGTGTCTGCAAGAGAAAAGGAAGCTGTGAGCACAGGGCTGTTATCCAGTCCTAGACCTTGTACCTTGGGCAGAAGCAACTCGAAGAACCCTCAACCACCACCAGCCTAAAGCAGTGTTGAGTGTCGCCTGACTCCAGGTTCCTGGAAACAACTTGCTGATACACTGAGAAAGAGACCCTCTTCCTGCCAGGGTTGCCAGACAGGTAGAAAGTGAGCCAGTATTTGCAGTGGCTATCTTTGCTGCTGTATAAGAAAGAGACTTCCTGATAATAAAGTCAGTCCAGAAGCTACATTTGTCGGGAGGCCCTGCCAAAACTTGACTATCCTGTGTCCCACTCCAATAAAATTCCACTGTCTGGCTTCCAAGGTGACAGAGATAGGTAATGTTTCAGACTAATCCAAGTGTGAACTATTTTTTTAGCTACATAGCTTTGTGAAAGCCTTCTGCAAATTCAATGTCTTAACATCCAATAGGTTAAGCTTCTTGGTACTTATTTCAACTAAACTTTTTATATTGAAATAATTGTAGATTCACATGCAGTTAAGAAATAAGACAGAGAAATGTCAGGCACCTTTTACCCAATTTCTCCTGAAGGTAGCATCTTGCAAAACTATACTGCAATATCACAGCCAGGATATTGACATCAATACAATTAAAAACACAAAACATTTCTATCACAGCAAAGATCCTTCATGTTAAACCCCTTTTATAGTCATGTCTACTTCTTTCCCACCCATACTCTCTTAAACCACTAATCTGTTTTCCATCTCTATAATTTTGGCATTTCCAGAATGTTATATAAATGGAATCAAAGAGTATGTAACTTTTGGGGATTGGCTTTCTTCATTCAATACAATTTTCTGGAGATTCATCCAGATTGTTGTGTATTGATAATTTGTTCCTTTGTATTGTTAAGTAAAGCTCTGAGGCATGGGAGTACCAGTTTGTTTAACTATTTACCTATTGAAGAACATCTGGGTTGTTTCCAGTTTGGGGATATTATGAATAAAGCTGCTATGAACATTCTCATACAGATTTTTGTGAGAACATTTCATTTTTAATTTTCTTGGATAAATGCCCAAGGGTGTAATGGCTGATATGGTAGTTGCATGCCTAGTTTAGTTTTTTGGGTTTTTTTTTTTTTTTTTTCCAAATTGTTTACCAGAGTGACTGTAGTATTCTACATTCCCAGCACCAATGTATGAGTGACTGTTTCTCTATACTCTTGCCAACATTTGATTGTATCACTATTTTCTATTTAACCATGCTGAAAACATGATATTTTGTTGTGGTTTTCATTCACATTTCTCTAATAGTTAATGATGTTACACATCTTTTCGTGTTTACTTGCCATCTGTGTTAGTTCATTTGGGCTGCTATAACAAAATACCAAAGACAGGGTGGTTTAAAAACAACAGAAATTTATTTCTCACAGTGCTGGAAGCTGGGAAGTCCAAGATCAAGTAGCCATAGACTGTGGTGAAGGCACACTTCTTTTATAGACAGATGTCTTCTCATTGTAACCTCACATAGCAGTGAGGCAAAAAGTGTCTCTTGGTCCTCTTTTATAAGGGCACTGATCCCAATCATATGGGCTCCACCTTCTTGACCTAATCACCTCCCAAAGGTCCTACACCTCCTAATTCCAATACCTTGGGGGTTAGGATTTCAACATATGAATTTGGAGGGAACATAAACATTCAGACTATAGCACCACATGTATATCCTCTTTGGTAAAATGGCTCTTTATATCTTTTGACCATATTCTAATTAGATTGTTTATGCTTTCACTGTTGAATTTTGAGAGTTCTTTAGATATTCTAGACACTAGTCCTTTTTTTATGTATGTGGTATGCAAATCTTTTCTCCTAGTCTATAGCTTGCCTTTTCAATTCTTTTAACAGGGTCTATTACAGGGGAAGAGAGTTTCATTTTGATGAACTCTAATTTGTCCTTTTATGGGTCATGCTTTTGGTGCCAAGTCTCAGAAAACCCCCAAACCCAAATATTTTCATCCATGTTTTTTTTTCCTGAAAGCTTTATAGTTTTATGTTTTACATTTTAAGCCCATAACCTATTTTGAGTCAATTTTTGGATAAGATATGAAACTTAGGTCGAAGTTCTTGGATTTTTTTTTAATGTCCCAGCATTGTTTTTTGAAAATGGTATCTTTCCTCCACTGAATTGCTTTTGCACTTTTGTTAAAAATCAGTCAGGCATATTTGTGTGGGCCAATTTTTGACTTCTCTATTCCATTTCATGGATCTATGTGCTCCCATCTTTTCTTTTTCAAAATTGTGTTAGTTATTCTATTTCCTTAGCCTTTATATATATATATATATATATATATATATATATATATATATATATATATATATATATATTTGAGTAATCTTATCTTTGTCTACAAATAATCTGACTGGGATTTTAATAGAAATTGTGCTAAGCCTATATAACAACTTGGGAGAAACAGGCATCTTTACTTTGTTGAGTTTTCCAATTCTGAATACAGTATGGTTCTCCATTTGTATAGATCCTTGATTTCTTTCATCAATGTTGTCTAGTTTTCAGCATACAAATTGTATACATGCTTTGCTATATTTACACCTAAGTATTTCTTTTTTTGTGTTAGCAACCATAAAAAGTATTTTTTTAACTTTTATTTCCACATGTTCATTGCTAGTACCTAGAAATACAACTGATTTTTGTGTGTTATCACCTATACTGTGACCTTGATAAACTTACCTATTAGTTCTGGGAGATTTGTGTGGATTCTTTGGTATTTTATATGTAGACAATCATGTAAACCACAAATAGAGACAGTTTTCTTTTTTCTTTTCTGATCCATATGAGTTTTATTTCCTTTTCTTGTCGTGTTGCACTGGCTAGAAATTATAGCACTATGTTGAGTAAGTGATAAAAGCAAATTTCCTTGGTTTGTTTCCCATCTTAGGGCCAAAGTATTCAGTCTCTCATCATTAAGTATGATGTTAGCTCTAGGCTTATTGTGGATGCTCTTTATCAAGTTCAGGAAGTTCCCCCCATGTCTATTTTTCTGAGATTTTAAAAAATCATAAATGGGTGTTAGATTTTTCTTTTTCTGGATTGATAGATAAGATTATGCATCCCTGAAACAAACTCATTTGTTCTGTCTTACTAAGCTGGTCTTTTGGCCTTAGAGAGTAGAATTTTGTTGGGGTTTTTTGTGTCTGAGTTTATTGGCATTTCCGGGTTTCCAGCTTCTTCAACTCCAAGTATGGGATAGATGGAGCAAAAAGGAAAACCTGAAGAACTCCTGAGGTCTCTATCTAGTCTGCCTTCTTCTCGCCACCTTTCAGACTCTTTTAAATACGTTATATATTTATTATATTGTATATACTTTATATATTACTTATATTTTATATAATATCCAGGGTTTTTAGTTGTACTTAGCAGGAGGAATAGAGAAAAGTACAACTACTCCATCTTCCCAGGAGTGGAAGTCCTGTTAGTTTTAAAATAAATATTAAAATAGTAAATGATAAGTGGAGGAGGTAGGAGTGAGTAAGCAGCTGATAATAAGGGAAAATGGGTGGAAGATAGACTTACTTTTTCCATATACCATTCTGTGTCATGAATTCTGTACCTTGTGAATATATTACCTATTCAAAATATTGTTTTAAAATAATTCATAAAAATGTGTTATCCAGCATTCTTAAAGAACATTAGGTTCGCAGAAATGAGGGTTCACTAGGAAAATCTGCCAAGGTAGTCCCCTGTCCTTCTGAAATGTCACAGAACAGCCTCTTTGAATTTTAAGTCCTTGTGCATGGATGGTCTCAAGTGAGCAGAACAGTGTGGCTAGCACACCCAAAGTTAGTGAAATGACTTTACCCAAAAAGAATCTTCTGTTTTCCCGGATGATCCCTGGCATTTCTCTGAAAAAAGAACAAGGTGCCCCTAGTAGTACCAGATTTTTGTTCTTGTCTCCTTAAGGGCCACCCCCTTAACACTACTTGTCAATTTAAGAAGAATCAAAAAGGTTTTAGCACGAGAAAGAGCTTATTTCAGACTGACTTTCTACCTGACTTTCCCTTACCTATCTCCCCTGGCTTCAGGGTGCTTCTCAATTTGGAGGGTCCTCCAGCCTGGGAAGATTTAAGCACCTCAATTCTCAGACTTTAGTTAACAAAACCTGGGAAGTTTGTTAACATGCAAACTCCCAGGTCCCTCCCATTGACATTCTGAATCAGTAGGAAAGAGTAGCCCCTGGGAATCTGCATGCTCAATTCATCTCAGGTGACTCCAGAACAAGAGGTCCTGGTGAAAGAGCTGGTAATCTAGGTCCAAAGCAGGTTTCTTGGGTTCTCTTCCCTGGTTGTCAAAATCACTTGGGAATGGTTGTGTGGTTATGCTATTTCAAAAAAGTTCTTATTGTTTAGAGATAGATACTAAAATATTTGCAAATGAAATACCACATCCAGAAATTCCTTCAAAATCATCCAGTTGGGATGGGGGAGGAAAATGGACGGAGACATAGATGAACAAGACTGGTCATGTGCTGATCATTATGGAAGCCTGGGTGAGGGGTACACCAAGGATCAAGACACTTTCTAATTCTGTAATGTTGGGGATTTTCCATAAAATGATGTTTAAAAATCACAGGGGGAAGGGCACACCTCATCAACAAGGGTACCTGCATAATGAACATTTGTATACCTAACCCTGAATTGTACCCCACATCATTAAAATTTAAAAGAAAAGAAAAATAAATAAATAAAAATCACAGTGAGGCTTTTTAAACTGTTCCTGGGTCTGGCCTGATCCCTCACTAATTAAATCAAAATCCCCAGGGGTGAGGCACAGGAATGTTTCCCCTACTGTGCTCTCAGTGATTGTAACATGTAACCAAAGCTCTACTGTCTTAAAAAAAAAAAAAAAAGGTTTTTCCCTTAGGGGCTTCCCATTAAAGTCTCTTGACTGTCAAAGCCCTAATATCTCTGCAAACATAATCAGCTCTAAGCCACAGCCCAGCTCAGTTATGTCAAACACTGCTGTTTGCCTTCTAATATCCATTCTTTTCATATGCCTCACTAACAAAATCTAGACTTTTGTCTGGATGTTGTAATGTGCCCAACTCTTCTCAGACTGCCTTTGCTGGTCACATGACCTGCCTCTGGCCAATAAGATACAAGCAGAGAAGTCCTGCAATGATTGCTGGGGCCTTCCCTTTTCTGATGCAGGTGCTGCTCCTCCCTGCCTCTATGCTGCCTTGCTTCTTTCTATCTGAATTGGGGCTGGAAGTGGAGGAGCATGATGGGACCCTAAGACGAGAGCCGCACCCAGGACAACAGAGCAGAAAAAGTCAAGGAGTCTGGTCCCCAGAAACCACACCAGCCACGGACTTCTAGGGGTTTCTGCTACTTTTAGTGTGGACAGTCCCAACTGATACACTGACATACCAGGGCTAAGAGTGCCCCTGAGGGATTAGGCCCAAGTCCCATCATATAAAATAGCATGTCTTAGTTGGGCATGGTGGCTCTTGCCTGCAATCCCAGCACCTTGGGAGATCAAGGCAGGAGACGACTGCTTGAGTTCAGGAGTTTGAGATCAGCCTGGCAACACAGCAAGACCACATGTCTACAAAAAAAAGTCAAAAAAATAGCAGGGCATGGTGGTGCACACCTGTAGTCCCAGCTACTGGGGAGGCTAAGGTGGAAAAATCACCTGTATCCAGGAGGTTGAGGCTGTGGTGAGCCCTGATCAATAGATTAAGACCTCAACTCAAAAAAAAAGAAAAAAAAAAATAGTTTGTCTCCTCTGTCCAGGAGGCTCCTGCAGTGGCAGCAAGCTGCTGGTCAAGGAAGCCACTTATACCAACAGCTATGCAAGTTATATTCAGGACAGTCAGTATATTTTCTGAAAAGTGCAACCCCAAAGGGGTGGCTGCCAGATTCAGAAAACAAGAGCTTCCTGACTTCTGCCTCAACCCAGAAGCAGAATCAGTCGGAGCACAAGAGGTGCAATATGCCCCTTCCCCAAGGGCCTGCAGAAGAACCTGCTGTTCCTCAGAACCCTGGCATCTAGGAACCTGCCAGACTGCATCTGAGAACACTCTCCGTGCTGACCAGGGCATTAGTTCTGGCTTCTTCTCTGTCTTACCAGTCTGCATTTCTATCCCTTGTATTGCACCAACCACAAATCAGCAGCAATAATCAGTAGCCCAGCTTTCTGCTGAGAGGAGACATGAATCAATTTGAATCTAACAAGATGAGGTCTAAGGGGGACAATTGTCAGTGGCACAAGCAAAGCTTGGGAGAAATATGGCCTCACAGTAACAACTACGGAAAAATTTAGTTGACCATGAATCACAAGCGTGATGTGAGCCTGGACTGCACAGGAAAGAAACCAGGATAAGGGAAGCAAGAGCCCTCCTCCACCCTGCCCAGGCCAGGCTGCCCTGGAGTCTTGTATGTCACAGCTGGGCGGGCAAGCTGAGCAGTGGTGTGTGTACCCAGGAGAATGGGGAGGATCCTGGGTGGAGAACCTGTCTGTAAGCCACCTGCCCCAGAGTATGCCAAACCCTTCTGGCAAAGTCAGAAATCTGAAATGTGAGTGCAGAGTCAGTAAGCAGAGTGGGTTGTCAGGGCAGGGGCTGGGGCCATATCCAGCCACTCCTGGGAGGTTTCCATCTGGACAAAGGCATATGTACTTGGTAACTCCTGCTCCCAGACATGTAAATAGTAGTGAGGGCACAGCATCTTAAGAAGGAGCACAGGCCAAACGGACACCATCAGAGGGGGACCTGGATGCCGAATGGGAAATCACGAAAGATCAGCAATGAGAAAACATGTGGGTGGAGTGAGAGTAGGCAGGTAGTGAGTGTTGGGGTGGCATGGGGTCCCTAGGGAGAAGGGATTAACTTGTTTAGTGTGAATGCAGAGGTAGACCCAAGAACAAGGTGGCATTTACAGGAGAAAAGATTTCTGCTCAGTATGTAGACTGTATAACAGAGCTGTCCAAAGACCGGAGGCCTGCTGTGAGAGGCACTGACCTCCCCATCACTAGACAGCAGGATGGGGCTGCAAGGTTTCTTGTTAAGGATGCTATTGGCAGGATTCACCCAGAGGTGGGGACTGAAACATGAGGCCATTACCAACTGAGATTCGAGCCAAAGTTTCCTCCCTCTCCCACTGAGACCTCCTGTCAGATCATTGTGACTACCTAGCCTCCTTTTTGCAGCCAGGTTTCCCACCTGCACCCTGAAGACATTTAATGTACTCTGACTTGGCTCCACCCCTAACCAGCCCACCTCCCAGACCCCTCCACCTAACCAGGTTACTTCTCAATCCATCCAGAAGATTCAGAATTCCCTTTGACAACCTTTCTTTCCCCTTAAATGAGCCAGCAGCTTGATTCATGCCTCACGTCCCCTTAAGTTGAAGGCAAAAACCTTTGTGAAAGTATTTTAACTTTCTCTGGGATTGTTTTCTCCCCCATTAAAAAAAAATAACCTCCAGGAATCTCTGAAAGTCACTTTTGAGACAGATCTTGCCATTTTTATAAATCAGTCACTGGAAAAAACTGCAGAAAATCACCTTCTTTCAAAAGTCCTTTTACAGAACCAAGCTCCATTCCCTCTTAGATGACAATGGTCTCCTACGTCTCTGCTGAGGGAGCCATTCTAAACTCTTCTCACATGGTGTCCTCAGTAGTTGAAGCCCCATCTCCAAGCCATTCCTCTGTATCCCCTGTAAATGCATTTAAGCGAATGTTGCTAAAAACCTAAATGCATGTTCTTCTAAGCATATTTACTAGCATAGGAAATGCTGGTTTTCTAGCTCCTGGAACTTTGGATTTAACCTGACACTCAATTTCACTCCCCTCAAGATGACAGAAAGAGAAAAGTATTTCCTATTTTTTCCTTGTTCAGCCCGTAAAAGAGTAAAATGCTGCAGCAGAGTCCACTAAATTCCCTTTGGAAAAGGCAATTCCAGAAGCTCTCAAAGGAGAGCTCCTAGTTTAATTTGTATTTACTTAAAGGCTGTTCTACATCATACAAACAACTCAAGACACTGCAGGACATTTTAGTTAACTGTTTTTATGTGCAAAATTCTAGAAGATTAGTTATCCAGGTACCCAAAGTAATGAGATATATGAACATAATGTACCTCCCCACGTGATGTGCTGAGAAGGGCAACACCACTCAGCCATGGGCTCCCTGCCAAACATGCAGACTTGGACCTAAACACGAGGAAACACCACCCAAACGCAAACCCAAGCTGAGAGACATTCTACAAAATAACGGGCCAGCTCTCTTCTGCACTGTCAAAGTCACAAAAGACTGAAGAACTGGCCCTGATAGTAAGAGATCAAGGAGATATGACAGCTAAATGCAATGTGGGATTCTAGTTTGTATTCTAGACCAGAAAAAGGTCCATCAATGGGCCATTTGGCAACATTTGAACAAGGACTATAGATTAGCTAATAGTATCATATCAAGGGTAATTTCCTGATTTTGGCCAGATGTGGTGGCTCATGCCTATAATTCCAGCACTTTGGGAGAACAAATTGGGAGGATCAATTGGGGCCAGGAAGCCAGGAGTTCAAGACCAGCCTGGGCAACAAAGCAAGACCCTGTCTCTACAAAAAATAGAAAAATTAATCAGGCATGGTGGCACATGCCTGTAGACACAATTACTCAGAAGAGTGAGGCAGGAGGAACTCTTGAGCTCAGGAGTTTGAGGCTGCCACCACACCCCAGTCTGAGTAAGAGTGGAACCCTGTCTCAAAAGGGGGGGGTAATTTCCTGATTTTGATCATGGCACTATGGTTTTGTAAGAAGTTAACATTTGAGGAAGTTAGGTAAAAGGACCTGGAAATACTTTGTTCTATTTTTGCAACTTTTTTTTTTTTTTTGAGTTGGAGTCTCACTCTGTCTCCCAGACTGGAGTGCAGTGGCACATTCACTGCCACCCCAGCATTAACTTGCTGGGCTCCGGAGATCCTTCCACCTCAGCCTTCCAAGTAGCCGGAACTACAGGCACGCATTACTGCACCCAGCTAATTTTTTATCTGTTGTAGAGATGAGGTCTTGCCAAGTTGTCCGGGCTGGTCTCGAACCCACAGGCTCAGACAATACACTCACCTTGGCCTCCCAAACTGCTGGGATTACAGGCTGAACTGTGACTTTTGTATAAGGTTAACTTATTTCAAAATGAAAAGGTTTTTAAAAAGTAGTTATGAAAGATACACTTTTCTGCCCTGTGAGCCCTGGGAAGTTCTGTCTTCCGAGGACACCTTTGAGTTTCCTCTTCTGGGATACTCAGGTACTGAGACACATCTTTGCGAGCCACGCCTCACCACCACCTGCATTATCCATGTGTGACCCTCAAGGCCACCTCCACTCTTGGTTGCTTACCTTGCTCCATTTTCTCTGTCATAGACACTTAGCGTTTTTCCTGGGAGCTGTGACAGGGATCTGGAGAGGCGGGCGGCCAGCATTGTAGCAACAGGTGATAGGAGGGCCCTCTTCCTCCCAGGGGTTCTGAAACACAAAATGCACCCTCAGCATCTCTTTGTTGCCTTCAGGGGTCTAGTCAGGGGTCATGTTTCCTTCAGGCTGTTAAAGTCAAATTGGGCTGGTCTGTTCAACCCAGGTCTAGTCCTGGTACCAGGCAGTCTCCTCTGAACCTCCCTCCCAAGCTACAGCCTCATGGTGGGAAGAGTCAGGAGTTGGGGTTTCTGGAAACCTGGGCTCTGGTTTTGGCTGCACCAACACATTGTGCAACCCTGGACAAGTCATCATCCACTGGTAATGTAAGGAGGTTGGTCCAGATCAGTGATCCTTAAACCAGGCAATTGTTGGGAGCCTTAGGGAACTAACCCCTCAGAATTCTGACTCAGTTAGTCCTGTTCCCTCATCTATGTTCCTCATACCTTGCAAAATATCCAACTGCGGTGACCCAGGACATCAGCCTTCACTCCTGCTGATGTGTCCACATGCAGCTTGTGTAGTCCCTTACCACACACATATCACCTGACTCAGCTCTTCACCTTTCTCCCCATCCCAACAAACATGGGGGCTCTGGCTCTGAGGCTGAATCCATCAAAAATGTATCACAGCACAGAGTCTGGAGCTGTCAAATGACTCTTTTTTTTTTTTTGAGTTGGAGTCTCACTCTGTCACCCAGACTGGAGTGCAGTGGCATGCTCCCAGCCACCACAGCCTCGACCCACTGCGCTCTGGTGATCCTTCCGTCTCAGTCTTCCAAGTAGGCGGAACTACAGGAGGGCGCTACCATGCCCAGCTAATTTTTTATTTATTGTAGAGATGAGGTCTCACCAAGTTGCCTGGGCGGGTCTTGAACCCACGGGCTCAGGCAGTTCACTCACCTTGGCCTCCCAAAGTGCTGGGATTACAGGCTGAGCCACCCAGCCCTGCCATGACTCTTTTAATCTAAACTAAAACATACATACACACAAACACATGCGCACGTGCAGTCTCCTTCCTCTCTCTCCATTTGAGGTTAAATCAACCTTATTGCAGAAAAGCCATGAATCACTTGGTGTCATCTTAAGGCTACTTAGCACCATAACTAGTCACATATTGTTAACTATAGATCAGCATGTGCATAGTTGCCCTCCTGTTCTGGTTAACGTGATTCCTTTCTGCCTAAAAGAAGGAAGGGGAGGCTGGTCATGGGTTCTAGCCTCTCCTTCGCCTACCTGACTGTAGTTTGTCATACTCTTCTTACAATTATGGAAGGCACAGGCCCACAATGGCTCAGATTCTTTAATGGGTGCCCTCTCCCCAACCCTGGAACTGGGCAGCTGGCCGAGCACACACATCTTTACCTCTTCCTGCCAGGGCCAGCATCTGAGGCCACTACCACTGGGTGACTTCAAGTTGTCTATAATTAAAGTCCTTTCCATCCTTTTGGCTCAATGCCTGTGGCAGAAAATGCTTTAATATCATCTCCAAATAGAGGTTGCTTCCAATTTTGTTTTCCTTAGAGCGATACCTAAAAGTACTGGAGTCAAAATAATTGAAAGTGCATAAAAACTCAGTCCCTTGAACAATGCACTATTCACTATGCATAATGTAGTCTCTTGTGAGTCTACTGTGTAGAATGGTAGAAACTTAGGTGTCTTTTTCTTTGTTTTTAAGTTTCTGAAACCTGCTGCTATTTCACTCAAAGCACGATGCATAGTCACTGGGACTCCCAAGGACTCTTCAAGGCTGTTGTTTGTCATCTTAATGCCTTGTACTGGACTTTATTATCTGCAAATATTAAGTCTCAAACTTGAAGCACTGCTCACTTGCCTTTTGGTGTGGGAACAGAGATGGCTTAGGGAGGCAGGTGCTGCTAGGAGAAAGACAAGCACCCGTGGGAGTGGGGGGCAGTCTCCTTAGCCTGGAGAGACAAGGGATTATCTGCCCCGGGGGATGGGGCACAGATGGTTTAACTCCTAGGGACCAAATACATAAGATACTGACACAAAATCAAGATGCTTGCACATCAATCTGTATGTAATCTTGGAGAAATTTTTCTAACCCCTGAGTCTCCTCTCAAGGGCACTGCCCTCTCTGCATGGGAGAGAGGTATTCCCACTCAAAAAAAGAAGTTACTCCCACTCAGAAAATGAAAAGAGAAGGTAGCTGGGCTCGGTGGCTCAGCCTGTAATCCCGCGCCTTTGGGAGGCTGAGGTGA